TCATGTTAGCTCAGGAATTCTGGGAGTTGAAGTCCACAAGTCTTAAAGCTGTTTGAAGACCCCTGTTCTAAAGTAATTGTCTGTCTATGCTTTCCTGGGAATTTTAAGTTTTAGTTTCTGTTTTCTGGGTAGGCCTGAAAATGAAGGGTGCCCCTGAGAGTAGAGATACCTGCTTTGTCAATTTTAGGCCATTTCAGAGATAACATTTCTCGTCTTCATCCAGCCTCAGCGCGCAGCTCCTTCTTTATGAAACAGAGAAAAATTGATTAAATCTGATGTAATGCACACTTTTTAAACTCTGATCAAAATTAGCAAAACAAGAAATTGGAAGCATATCTGGTCTTTAAAAGGCCTAAATCCAAAAGGTTCTCCCAACTACCGTCAAGTGGCACAAATAAGCCTTTGTAGAGGTTTGCACACCTAATTAAATGTTACAATATGTAAAAGAAATATCCTGTTTTTCTTGTAAAAAACAACAACCCAGTTCTGAATCTCCTCTTTCCATTATGTTGAAGGGCATGGTGAATTATTTTAAAATAAATCATTGTCTATGTATTTTTTTCCCTTTCTTTCTTTCTTTTCTCATTGTCTGTTGATATCTCTGTGACTTAATTCCTGAAGTGGAAAAGACCAGACAGGCATCAGAGCTAGCGATAAGATAAAAAATCTTTACCATCTTTTACATTCTTGTCCTTTGTTTTTTTTTTAACTTAAGCGTGAACATTTGTTTTCAGATGTGCCATTTGGTGGTGCAAAGGCTGGTGTTAAGATCAATCCTAGACTATATACAGTAAGTTCCAATTCCAGAAAAATATGCTTTTAATCAGCATGTTTAGGCTTAGATATCTGAGGAGCTGTTTTCCTAAAAATAGACCACTCTGGACAATGTAGTAGAATTCTATATATTTTCTTGGTCTGGAGAGATTAATTGCATAAATTCAAACCTATCGTACCATTTCAGATAAGCAATAATCACAGGAAAAGTTGCCGGATGGCCTTATGAATGCTGCTTGCCATTATTTTGGTCAATTTGAGGCTGTTACCATTTTTCTGAAACAAAAGGAATGACTTAGTTAGCAGCCAAATGTCACTGCAGGTAGTCCTTGACTTACAACTGTAATTGAGCCCAAAGTTTCTGTTGCAAAGTGAGACATTCATTAAGTGTGTTTTGCCCCGTTGAAGACTGCAACCTTCATAAATAGGAATTAGTCAGTAAAAATCGGAATTTTGATCTATAGTGACATGGTGCAATGGTCGTAAGTGTGAAAAACGGTCACAGGTCGCTTTTTTCCAGAACCGTTGTAACTTTGAACAAGTCACTAAATGAACTGTTGTAAGTCAAGGACTGCCTGTATAAGAGAAAGGATGAAGTATTGGTCAGATGTTGCATGTTTTGGCCAATAATGCCAATAAAAAACCAGTTTACTTAGTATGCCCTCATTCTACCCAAGTTAGAATGTAAGCTTGAGTCTACTTTGCAAGCCAACCTATGTTTTGGAGGTATGTGCTGGGCAGTGACCAACACTTAAGATAAGAAGAATGAAATGAAAAGGATTTATTCCAATTGCAAGTTTTCAAGATAAAGGGTGGTTCAGAATCATTGCAGTAGAATACTGTAATCCTTAGTTTTATTTATGGTGTGTTTCTAGCAATCCTAAAGTAGCAGTTGATGTCATTAATAGTCATTTGTTAAAGTTAACAATTAGACTGTAAAGGTCTAAAGAATGGATACAAATCTTAACAACAGCATTAAAAATGCTAAATTCGACTGCAGTGACCAATTAGCAACAGCACTTAGTCTCATATTCCACTTCACATTGCTTTACAGCAGAGCTCTCCAAACTTGGCAACTTTAAGACTTCAACAAGTCCACATGTCTTATAGTTGCCAAGTTTGCGTGGCCCCTGCTTTACAAGCCTCTCTAAGTGGTTTACAGAGTCAGCCCTTTGCCCCCAACAATCTGGGTCCTAATTTTACTGACCTCAGAAGGGGTGGAAGCTTGAGTCAACCTTGAGCCAGTGAGAATCGAACTCCAGGCAGTGAGCAGAGTTAGCCTGCATTGAAGCCACTGTGCCACCATGGCTCCTATTAAACACTGCAGGGGCGCTGTAGCACCAACTTGGAAACCCTAGTAAAAACTTTTATTGATTTACTTGAACAGGGAGGGAATTTTACAGCAGAATAAACAATATTTTCCTGCAATCACTTGTGCATCCAAGAGGCATAAGAGTCTATTTCCTGACCTCCCAGCTGTCCAGTTGTGGAGTGGCTTCCGCCTTTCTTCCCAGCACTTTTGGAAATGAATTTCAGAAATTGGTCCTGTCCTTCTCTAGTTCAGAGGTTGGGAAGATTTAATAGCAGCGGTTCCTTTTCAAGGTTCACATAGAATCCAAAACAATGGGTTGGGCTGGTACCTCTCCTGTTACTGCATGGTGGCTAAGCCTAGACTAGTAGATGGCCTAGGAACTATGGGCTCAAGCCAAAGGGTTGACTTTGGGTGTTGCTTACTCATCTCCTGGATATTCACCGTCTCCTTTGTTGTTGTAGGATAATGAATTGGAAAAAATCACAAGGCGGTTTACCATAGAACTCGCAAAGAAAGGCTTCATTGGTATGTAATAACTGGAATTGTCTGTATTGATTTGGGCGAGAGGGATCATTCAGCAGTACTAGGCAGTACAACTGCACACACACACACACCCAAAAAAAGAAGCACCGGTAACTTGAATGTGGTAGTGCATATTGTGAAGAACACTGGAAGGACAAGAGTGCCTTTGTTTCCTTGTTTTAATTCATCAGCTACAGCAAAGCCCGAGGCCTGAGCTGTAGGCTTTTGCATGCTTGATGCTTTCAATTCCAGGGATGTGCAGAAATTCATTTCACCTGGGACCAGAATTCTTCCAGGTTGATGAATGTTTACGCCTCTTTCTTCAAACCCTCCACATCAAGAGTTACCTGGAAAATCGTATTAAAGAGATCAGCTCTTACTTGGCTTGTTCAAGCTGTCAAATCAAAAGAGCAATTTGTCTTGTTTGTTCACTTCATAGATGATTGGAGAAACACCCATTTTATTCTGTTCTCTTTTTGCTGTAGACATGCCGTTCATTCTTTCATAACCTCTCCAACATCCAAATCGTAGGAATCAGTTTCCCTTCCCTTCTTTCTGCCTGTTGAACTTTTGGAAGCCAGGGGTGGTTCCTTAACGAGACATGATAGAACAGAGCAAACAGCTGGGGAAAGAAGAAAAGTGTTCCAATTTATAAACATCCTTTGGTAGCTTGGGGTACAAGTCAGTATGTTGTTATTTCTACCTTCCCACTATCTTTTTTTTTAAAAAAAAATCTTTAAGGTACAGATTTCTTTTTTCCAGGAAGTAGAGATAGTCTATTTCTTTTTGTCGTCTAAGTTAGGGGTCTCCAACCTTGGCAACTTTAAGCCTGGAAGACTTCAACTCCTAGAATTCCCCAGCCAGCAAAGCTGGCTGGGGAATTCTGGGAGTTGAAGTCCTCCAGGCTTAAAGTTGCCAAGATTGGAGACCCCTGGTCTAAGTGATTGAATGGGAACGCTTCTCTCCATTGAGACCAGGGGTCTCCAAACTTGGCAACTTTAAGACTTGTGGACTTCAACTCCCAGCATAGCTGGCTGGGGAATTCTGGGAGTTGAAGTCCACAAGTCTTAAAGTTGGCAAGTTTGGGGACCTCTGATTTAGACCCCTAAATCATTGCATCCATTAATAAAGACAACATTACTTCTAATGGTTTTGCAACGTAACCCTCATGTAACTGTAAGCAATATCACAGCTAGCTTCTTCTGGTTTCCATGCATGGTACTGGTTTGTGTTTAATGGTGCCCCTTCTTGGTTCTTGGCTGTGCCAAACAGGGCCCGGTGTGGATGTGCCAGCTCCTGACATGAGCACTGGTGAACGGGAGATGTCCTGGATTGCAGACACCTATGCTAATACCATAGGACACTATGTAAGTTCTGAACACCCTTATGGCACAGTGGCCTTATGGCATGTTTTTCAAGTCACATACAATGCCTAACCGACCTAGAACAGATTTGCAGTTCTTTGGACAAGCCACATAAGACCAACATAATGTCTATATGTCTACAAGCATCACTGTTGAATGAGTGTCTTTTCCCAAAGAAATAGTTTAGTTGGAAATGTGTATATCTCCGAAACGCTGCTTGCTTTATACATGAGGGTTCTCTGAACTTGGTGGTTCTCTCGCAGACCTTTCATTACCCAAACTCGGTAACATCATCAGAAACCAGGGTAACTCTTTTCATAAATTAAATTCTCCCAATAGAATAGTAATGTAGGAATCGTCCCTCAGCTTGAACTCTCTGTCTGCCGAACGATGAGTCCAGCGAGTTTTAACTCTCAGCCCCATGTGGAGCTTTTTCTCCAGCATGGCAGGTGGCTGCATCTACGTCTCTGCTATCCTCCCTTTAAGAAAATGCGCTAGGTCAGGGGTGGTCAAACTCAAGGCCTGCCAGTCCGATGTGGCCCACAAGGGTGCTTAGATCTGGCAGAGGGCTAGCAAAACAAAATAAAAAACAAAACAAAAGACGTGTTTCCCCTTTTTGCATTTGAGCGTTTTGCAGGAAGGGGACAGGAAAGGAGGAAAGACAAAGAAGGGAAGGTGGGAAGAGAGAGCAAGGAAGAAAAAATAAGGGAAGAGAGGAAGGAAGGAGAATGGAGAGGGAAGGGGAGGGAAGGAAGGGGATTATAATAAGAGTGAGTCTTAGGTAAGTCCTGCCTTAGCATTTGGCCCCCCGGCACAAGTCCCATGTCACACCCACCATGGCCACGCCCACCCGTCCCTCCGAGGTCAAACACAACCCTGATGCGTCCCTCAATGAAATCGAGTTTGACACCCCTGGGCCCAGAGGTGATTGAGTGGGGTCACCTAACGGGGGGACATGAGAGCTGTTCTCCCACGGCATCTGCTCCTGGAAGCTTGCAAATCGGTTAATTTCTATTATTTTGTTTTCTAAGCTGCCATAATGTAGGGGAAGCTCTTGTCGCGTCCCGTTTCTCCCCATACCGTAGGGCTCCTCAAGGAGTCATGTGATGTATCGACTCAAATTCAAAGGCCACACTGGATACTCTTCCCTTGCCTTTGCTAGTTTCTCTGTATTGGAGCCATAAATTAAGAAAAGATGCCACATTGTGGAGGAGATCTTGGCACATTTTGCAAAGACGGATGCCCCGAGTTTTGGCATTTGTTGCCACTTGAGATTAAATAATACTAGGCTTAGAGAAAACCAGTCCAATTCTGTCCGTAGTAATCTGTACTAGTAATCTGTAGGTAGTTCATTGCAATGTAACTGGCGGTCACTTGTTGAGGTGGTTGTTTTTATGCAGTGTTGATAATGTGCTTTTAACTGTTAACAGACTAGCATAAAACTATGCAAACAGTTCATCTGTCAACATAAATTACATCCATGCTGCATTAGTCCTGAAATGAGACCACGCCCGATTCTAAAAATTGACAATATTTAATAATCGAAAGCTCTGCTTTCTGATTTTGACAATTGTTATAGACTAGAGAAGATGATCTTTTTGGAAATGCAGTGCCAGAGAGCTTTTCTCTTGAATTCAGTTTTGTACCTAATCGTTTTCAACTAGAAGGCAGGGGAAAATTGGAAACCAGGATAGGTGGGGGTTTTTTGGCCACCAAAAGAAAGTCCTTCCTTTCAAAATTCTTTTAATTATTCATGCATGAGCAAGCAATTGAATTATTCCACTTCGGTTCATCTGAGTTAACATTTTGCTTATTCAGGGTGACCATGGAAACACTTTTCTAAACAGCCTCTTGACTGATTCCGTGGACTTCTCTCACATAATTTTACTTGAGACGGATACTTTAAACTTTGGCAAAAAAACAACAACTCCGGATTGCAAGACTATAAAGTTTCAACAAAGTGGCAAATGGTACAGGCATAAAGCCTTCAAACATTTGTTTTCCTGCACACACATTGTTGGAGAGGAGAAAAGAAGAGAAAATAATTTGCTCTTTAGTATTCTAGTCAGTAAAGTTGCAGCTCTAAATAACTTCCCTTTTTGGCCAGATTTAATAATATGTACTGGCATTTTTCTCTGGGTGTAGCACATTGCTAAAAATAGGCATATTCTTGCTCTAATGCAATTGAGAATCCACTGAAAACTCCTTATATCATAATTGGGAAGATAATCCATAGTTTGTTGCCTAAAGGAATTAATTTATTGCTCACTGCAGCTCGTGAATTTAAAAGCCAGCGATTATTATAATTTTTTGGGTACGGATTACCCATGTATGATAAAATGCTTTTTTTATTTGAAGTGTCAATTTCCTTTCTGCTTTGCTTTTTCAAAGATTTTTGTGAAGCTCAAAAGCTACTAATAGACAAGAGTTAATAAAAGAAATACGTGGTTTATAGGATGTTTCTGATTGAAAGTCAGTGGAGATTCTCAAGTCATCCAGGTCATGATTGTTCGAAATGAGCTTTTTCAAAAGACAAGTGGACTTTCTTTGTTTTTCCTTGAGGATGTTTCGCTTCTCATCCAAGAAGCTTCTTCAGGTCTGTTTGAATTCTGATTCAGTCAAGCTGAAGAAGCTTCTTGATTCAGTCAGAACTGAAGAAACTTCTTGGATGAGAAGCGAAATGTCTTCAAGGAAAAACAAAGAAAGTCCGCTTGCCTTTTGAAAAAAACCCTTTTGGGATTCTGATTGAAAGCTTATTAATTTAAGATTAGATAAACAGTTTATTGTTTCATTGCTATTCCAAGGTGCTTGATAATCTCTCTATTGCAGACAAGGAAACAAGAATTGAGCCCCTAAGTAAATTAAGATTGGCATAGAAACTGAAGAATTGTAGATCAAAATGTAGTATGCCAGAGCCTGAATGAGGCCCAGAGGGCTCTAGTTCATGTAGATCAAGGGTCTTCAAACTTGGCAAGTTTAAGACTTGTGGACTTCCAAGTCCCAGAATTCCTGAACTAACATGACTGGAGGAAGAATTCTGGGAGTTGCAGTCCACAAGTCTTAAAGCTATCAAGTTTGAAGACCCCTGGTGTAGATAAAATTTCAGCATCTGTTTCCCACTGCTTAGGCCCTGCAATCTCTTTTCTCTGGTTAAGCCTCAAATTGCAAGGCTCAACACGTCTAAGCAGAATACCCCCACAGAGTTTTACGGTGCACAAAGTGGGAACTATGACAACAGCATTATACACTTTCTACAAACGAAGTGAGAACTTCATTTTGTACGATTCTGACTCATCAGCCAAAAAAATAAAATAACAATAACTGGAAGCAGTGAGTCAGATTTTTAAAACTCGAGACAAGCCAAGAAGGAAGAACATCCACATTTTGAAAGAATTCCCACCAAATGTAAATGAAAGGAGAACAAAAAAATGTAAAGCAAATACAATATGAGATAAGTTTGTGACATTCTGTGTCAAGTCTTTTTGGCAGCTGCCCAAACATGAAAAAAGTTGTCCCTAAGCACAATTTTCAAGGACTCTTTTTAGCAAGTCGCCTTGACTTGATACATTTGAGCAACTGTGCTATTCCTCATTAAGAAGCAATTTATGCCTTTGTACTGTAGAGCAGAGAGATGTTTCTATTTTCTTTCACACAGCCTGCTGTGATCGGTTACTGAAGGGGGGTGGGGAAGGAAATTTGCAGCTGGCTGTTTATATGATAGATTCCTGAATTGCGACCCATCTGGTTCATCTCAGAAATTCAGAGAACGTTGGTAAAATTGCAAATTGACTCCCTCCATCTTGCTGCATTAGTGGCAGCCAGGATGAAGAAATGCACGACGCAGTGTGTGAACCCACAACCCCTAAAATCGGAATATGGTTTGGTGATTGTGATTTAGTGTGTAAAGTTGGACCCCAAATTTCCCTTCCTTGCAGTGGCTTTGCTTTTCTCTAGCGATTTGCAATCCATTGTTCTTTGAAGAATGCCAACACGTTTGAAAGTAGAAATAACCCCACTAGATTTGGAGTTGGTTTCCAGCAAGGGCAAAGGGAAGTAATGCCCACTCTTCTGAAGAATCACGTCAACAAAACCTGGAGAAACTATTTCACAAAACCCAGAGGACATTTTTTTTAATCTTTTGCTTTGTCCTAAGTCTAACAATGCCGTGTAGAAAGTTATTCCTCACATAGGCTGTGATGAAAAGATGATCGTTCTTGGATATTGAAACCCAGAAAAGATAAAAGTCAGCAAAGGAGGCATTAACCCATGCGAGTGTAGATGTTAGACCTGCCCCAATTGGATCCCTTAGCAAAGAAAGATCCTCGACCCCATTTGGTTGAAGTGAAAGGTTCTTTTACTAAAAGATGTTGGCTGCAGTAAAGTCAGGCCAGATCTGGATTTCCCAGATTCAAAAGATACAGAAGGTGTTTTGAGAATGCTGAGTTACTTTGGGATAATCTTTCTCAGGGTGCCTGGCCTTGAATGCTGGTACAAACTGGTTCCGAGCTTCTCTGTTTTTTATCACCTGTCATTCCCCCTTCCCTGTTTCCCATCACGTACATACACAGTTTTATTGCGCCTCTATCCTCGCCTTTGTAGCCTTTGATGGCAGGGTGCCCCTGAGAAGCCGAGCCTGGCGGACCTGACAGTAGATGTTTTGAGAAGATCTTCCCATTCCTTTCCACCTGAACGTCGTCCTTTCTTTTGCAGGATATCAATGCCCATGCCTGCGTGACGGGGAAACCCATCAGCCAGGGTGGCATCCATGGCCGCATCTCTGCCACGGGTCGTGGCGTCTTTCACGGGATTGAGAACTTCATCAATGAAGCGTCATACATGAGCCTCTTGGGGATGACTCCGGGATTTGGAGATAAAACTTTTGCCATCCAGGTAGTGGATTTACAAGGATCACATGGGGGAGGAAAGAGAGCAATGATGTATTGAGATAAGGCACTGATATCCTTAATTCTTCAGGTAGGGAAGTCACTGTCTTAGGCCTGTATACTTGGTGTTCTGCTCAGTTATTCATATATGTGAGCCACCCAAGCTTTAAATCAGGAACATATGAGTTAGATCTGTCTTCCTCAAAACTGGAGGAATACTGTTCTGTGTGGTTGTCTGCATAAATGCAATGAATGCACATAACTAAGTAATTCATTTGTGATCAAATAGTCTAGGACTAGGGAGTCACAAGAGGAAAAGTACGTTTTGGGAGGTGGCAATGATAAACTATTGTCCTATCAAGCCAAGAAAATGGCAAGGAGATACAGTATCGCTGCATATCCTTGCCATTAAGAGTCAAGCTTTGATTTTTGACTAAAAATAGAATGTTGGAAGAACATTTCTCTCACATTAAACACATCGTGAATTTCAGCCAAACAGTTATTATAAGCAACAGCTGTCCACCCATGAATAGGGTGGTTTTGATTCTAAAGCTTTTCTTGCTTTTAGCAATAGCACTTAGACTTATATACCGCTTCATAGTGTTTTTACAGCCCTTCTTTCTAAGCAGTTTACAGAGTCGGCCTATTTCCTCCCAAAATCTGGGTCCTCATCCACCTTAAGCTGGTCAGAATCGAACTCCTGGCAGTGGGCAGAGTCAGCCTGCAATTCTGCCTTCTAACCACTGCGCCACCAGGGCTCTTTAGAAAGTTGTTTCATGAAGCTGCTTCAAGAAAAATAGAGCTTTGAGGGAGGACTAAATACAAACTTACTTTCACTTTTTTAAAAAATAGGGATTTGGCAACGTAGGTTTGCATTCGATGAGATACCTTCATCGCTATGGAGCAAGATGTGTAGCTATTGGAGAAAAAGATGGTGCTATCTGGAATCCTGATGGACTTGACCCAAAGGAGTTGGAAGATTATAAGCTGGTACGCAAAAATGGTTTACCGTTGTTTATTGTCCTGTTTCATTGGCTGTGATGCTTAGCAGTCATTCTGTTATCTGTATAAGAGGCCTTTATGGTAAATAAAACAAATCAGGCTTCAGATTGCAAAGAACTTTAAATTAGATTTGCTTGAGCGAGGCAGTCAAGCTTTTTAGGTCTTTAGGAAATATCAAAAGACTATGAAACTCCCCAAGTAGGAGGTTCACTAATGAGGAGCACGCACAAATGGGGAAGCTAAGCAAAATAGAAAATCTTCCTCTTGGGAAAAAAAAAATGTGCCTAAAGCTTTGGATTGTTGGGCAAACAGTTTTGCGTGTGTTTTGAAATATGGAACCTTAATCTGGGAGCATGTTTGAGTATGTCTAGTCTAATGAAGAGAAGGACTAAAGTGACATGATAGCAGTGTTCCAATATTTGAGGGGCCGCCCCAAAAGGAGAGCGGGCCAACCTATTCTCAAAAGCACCCAAAGGCAGAACAAGAAGTAAGGGGTGGAAACTAGCCAAGGAAAGAACCTAGAACTAAGGAGAAAACTTCCTAACAGTGAGAACAATTAACCAGTGGAACAACAGCTTGCCTTCAGATGTTGTGGAAGCTTTCAAGAAGAGACTGGACAGCTGCTTGTCTGGAATGATACAGGATCTCCTGCTTATTATTCTGTTCTGAAACACTTATTATTCTGTTCTGTTAAGACATTAAAGCAGTGGTGGCTCACCTTTTGGGGCTCCTATGCCAAATGCCAGCGTACCGGCACCCAGAAGGCAATGCATGCCCCCCCACACCCCCTACTCATGTGTGCGTAATATCCACCCACCCCCAACCCCCTTACCGGCACTGCGCCTCACAGCTGATTTTCGGTGGATTTGAGGCCTTTTTCAGCCTCCCAAAGGCTTGAGGAAGGCTTCTGCAGGCTTTGCAGGCTGAAAACTAGCCCCGTTTCGTCACTTCCGGTATTTTTGGGAAAAACAGGAAGTGACGAGACGAGGCTAGTTTTCGGCCTGCAAAGCCTGAAGAAGTCTTCCTCAAGCCTCTGGGAGGCCGAAAAAGGCCTCAAATCCACCGAAAATCAGCTGTGAGGCACACGCAGACCCAGTGAGGTAAGTTTGCCTGCAGCTTGCGTGCCGGCACAAATGGCTCTGCGGGCCACAAATTCACCATCAACGGCATTAAAGTGTCGTAACTCCCATCATTCTCTCAACAGCAACACGGATCCATCCTCACCTATCCAAAAGCCCAGGCTCTTGACTGCCACATTCTCGAAGCCGATTGTGACATCCTCATCCCAGCAGCCAGCGAGAAGCAGTTGACGAAAGCCAACGCCCACAACGTCAGAGCGAAAGTAAGATGGATGGGCCGTCTGAGCTTTCTCGGTTCCTCCAGCTGAGCCTTGGTTCTCCCATCCGCTCCTTATTGCTGTCTCCGTTAAGATTCCCTGGTCTTAACGGTTGACGCATTGATGTTCTTTCCAGATCATTGCGGAAGGTGCTAATGGACCCACCACCCCCGAAGCTGATAAGATCTTCTTGGAACGGAACATCATGGTTATTCCAGTAAGGTTCTTTTTGATAGTTGTTGTCGGGTGAGAAACAATATGAAGTTGATTGATGGAGATAGCTTCTGAATTAAAAAAAAAAAAAAAAACTATTCGGCAGGACTTTCCTTAAAACAGAATGGATTTTAATCTGCGTTCAGAAATGTGACTGGCAAATTTTTGTTTCCTCCTCAATCATACCCGATTAAAAGGGGGTTCCCCCACCTTGGCAACTTTAGGACTTGTGGACTTCCAATACCCAGAATTCCTGGCTGAGGAATTCTGGGAGTTGAAGTCCCACAAGCCATACAGTTGCCAAGGCGGGAGACCCTTGCAGGCCTTAGCAAGTCTTTGATCTTGGTCTACAAGGAAGGAAGTTCCGCTGAACTCACCCCACTCTTCCTCTTCGCCCCTGGCTTAGTTTGGAAGCAGGAAGGAAGCAGGAATAAAGCTCTGTCAGCAGAGTTAGGACCTTTGGATCTTCATGATCTCTTTGCTTGGTTGACTCCCCCCAAATTCCTCAGCTAGCCTGGTATTGGATGGAACCAAACCTTCATCTTGATTCCTGACACTTCCACCCCGTGTTTCCAAGAAGCATTTGGGGTTAGTTGGCTAACCTAGTTCAGGGGTCTCCAACCTTAGCAACTTTAAGACTTGTGGACTCTGGGAGTTGGGAGTCCACAGGTCTTAAAGTTGCCAAGGTTGGAGACTCCTGACCTAGTTAATGGGAGGCTCTTCAAACGGAGGATACTTCAAGCTATTCAACAAAGCGAAGGAAACCCTTTCGGGGAGATCTCCTTGTTGTTGAGGACTGCTTCCTGAATGCTGGCTCAGAGCCAGGAAAGCAGGCAAGCTATTAATCCAGCCGATTGGGTGGGAGTAAAAATGTATTCCCTGAAACTACGAAACTGGTTCCTGGATTGCTGAACAGGATGCAAAGGCATTTACTTACTCCTTTCAGCTACTCTTTGCAGAGTGATGCGTGGCATACAGCAACAAAATAAAAATAAACCTCAGACACAGTCACATAGACACGCCTAAGATTTTATCAGCAGTGAATTTTTTCTTTTCTTTTGAATTCTTTGCTCTTCATTTAGCTCCTTGATCTCACCTGGAGCCAAACATAAATGTGATGTACCTGTTAATAAGTGTTTAATTGTAGTTGCCATTTCTCTTTTAAGTCGATGACTGTAGAATCAGGAGTCCAGGTAGTTCAAATGAATATATAGGTTTATTTCAAGCTGAGGCTCTCTCTACAAGAATCTGAACTACAAACGGCCAAGGCAAATTGGCAGTAGATAAAGAGTCGACCTATTAAGAATCAAAGTGGGCTGGACTTAGATCTCATGTGGGCCCCAAGGGACTGAAGACTGATGGCACATTTGACCCCTCCTTCAGGCTCATCTCCCGTTTCATATCGGAAGTACACCTTAGTGATGATCTGCCTGTAAAATCTACCTGCCTCTATAGATCAGGAGTCAGCAACCTGCGGCTCTGGAGCCGCATGTGGCTCTTTCATCCCTCTGCTGCGGCTCCGTGTCCCTGGTTGGCACCACAATTTTGAGAGGAGCTTCCGGTTTGGGGGGGGAGCGCCAGGAGGAGACTCTTTGGCAAGGGGCGGGTTTTCTGGTCGGCTCCACAATTGGTAGGGCTTTCGGTTAGGACAGGTAGAGGAAAAAGGACACCGTGCTAGGAGGAGACTCTATGGTGGGGGAACCGGACTTTCCGGTCGGCTCCAGAATTGAACGGGAGGCTTCTGGTTAGGCCGACCCCCTGATCTAGATCATTACTAACCTTATCTGAAGGTGGCTTCCCTTGTCTGCTTCTTTTTCATTTCCTCACTTCTTCTTCTTCTTCCCACAGGACCTCTATTTAAATGCTGGTGGCGTGACTGTATCTTATTTTGAATGGTTGAAGAACCTGAACCACGTCAGCTATGGCCGCTTGACCTTCAAGTACGAAAGGGACTCAAACTACCATCTCCTAAGTACGTTCAGTGGGTTCTGCCCTTCAGACACCAGCCTTCGCCCACTGGTGGGCATGCCTGGGCTCCTTGATCACTTTCAGGGGTGCACACCTGGCCCAGTGCTTTTAGCTGGGTTTTTTTTGGGGTGGGGGGGGGCATTGCATTGCTGAATGTTTTGGGGCGATTAATGGACTTAAGAGAAAATTCCCGCCTTTACGTGGCAGTTGATCTACCTTGGCACATTAAAAAAAGGGAACGAGACGCTTCCGAATTCTATGAAATATGGAAAAAAAATTATAATTGGAGGGTTACGAAAGGAAGTCAAAAAAATGCAAAATAGAAATTAAAGAGTTTATGCTACAATAAAAATTTTAAGGTAGAAATGAATATAAAGACTTACAAAGTATAAATGTAGATAGATAGATAGATAGATAGATAGATAGATAGATAGATAGATAGATAGATAGATGATAGATAGATAGATAGATAGATAGATAGATAGATAGATAGATAGATAGATGATAGAAAGAAAGATAGAAAGATAGAGATAGATAGATAGAGATAGAAAGATAGATATAGATAGATAGATAGATAGATAGATAGATAGATAGATAGATAGAAAGATATAGATAGATAGAAAGATAGATTAGATAGATAGATAGATAGATAAGAGATAGATGATAGATAGATAGATAGATAGATAGATAGATGATAGATAGATGATAGATAGATAGAAATGTTATATTGTTTGATGACATTCTGATGTTATAACAATGTAAAGACTGCTGATATATGCCAAAATATCACCACGTTCAAATGTTTTTAAAATTTAATTTTCAATAACAATTTAAAAAAAAAAATGAAATTGATTCTACCCTGAGAAGAGCTGTCTTGAGCATCCAGTTAGTTCCCTTGGCTAGGAGTTTTAACTGTCTGTTTTCTTTTTCTTTCTTTCTTTTTTAGTGTCGGTTCAAGAGAGCTTGGAAAGAAAGTTTGGGAAACATGGGGGAAGTATTCCGGTTGTGCCTACTGCAGAATTCCAGGATAGAATATCTGTAAGTAGCTCTTGGAAAATTCATTTCCTTAATATGTAGGTCTGAGCAAACTCTGCGTCACGCAGCAACAAAACCCATAGGGAAGCCTGAAGAACAGAAGCTAAAATGCCACGTCCAACTCTGTTGAAGGCTGAAGTTTTGGCTTCGTTTGTATTGATCATCAATAAAGGGACCAATAAAAGAGTTGCAAAATGTAGGTAGTCCTTGAATTATGGCTACAATTGAGTTCAAACTTTCTGTCACTAAATAAGACAGATGTTAAGTGAATTTTGTCCCATTTTATGACCTTCCTTGCCCCGGTTATTAAGTGAATCATTACAGTGAGTAAGGTAGTAACCCGGTCGTTAAGGGAATCTGGCTTCTTCGTTGAATCTCAAAAGGTGATCACATGACCCCTGGACACTGCAACAGTCATAAATATGGGTCAGTTACCAACATCTGAATTTTGATCACGGTCAGCGGTCGTAAGTGTGGAAAACGGTCATAAGTCATTTTTGCTGTGCTGCCGTAACTTTGAACAGCCCCCTACAAGAATGGCTCTAAGTTGAGGACTACCCAATTACAGATTTGACTAGAAATCAGAAATGATGGTCCTAGACGAACTCTAAATTTAATATTGTTAGGATAATGTGCATTAGCTCCAGTACATGATATGTATGTTGCATATGAATTTGTTTGAGCTTGGCAGATTATATACCTCTACCAACCCTGTTTTTGACCTGATGTTCAAGTACCAATAGCAATAGCACTTAGACTTATATACCGCTTCACAGTAGCCCTCTCTAAGCAG